GAGAGAGGGGTAAACAGTGAGGTGGCAAAGTTTGCAGATGATACTAAACTGCTCAAGATAGTTAAGACCAAAGCAGACTATGAAGAACTTCAAAAAGATCTCACAAAACTAAGTGACTGGGCAACAAAATGGCAAATGAAATTTAATGTGGATAAATGTAACACATTGGAAAAAATAACCCCAACTATACATACAATATGATGGGGGCTAATTTAGCTACAACTAATCAGGAAAGAAATCTTGGAGTCATCGTGGATAGTTCTCTGAAGACGTCCACGCAGTGTGCAGAGGCGGTCAAAAAAGCAAACAGGATGTTAGGAATCATTAAAAAGGGGATAGAGAATAAGACGGAGAATATATTATTGCCCTTATGTAAATCGACAGTACTCCCACATCTTGAATACTGCGTACAGATGTGGTCTCCTCATCTCAAAAAAGATATACTGGCACTAGAAAAGGTTCAGAGAAGGGCAACTAAAATGATTAGGGGTTTGGAACGGGTCCCATATGAGGAGAGATTAAAGAGACTAGGACTTTTCAGCTTGGAAAAGAGGAGAATAAGGGGGGATATGATAGAGGTATATAAAATCATGAGTGGTGTGGAGAAAGTGAATAAAGAAAAGTTATTTACTTGTTCCCATAATATAAGAACTCGGGGCCGCCAAATGAAATTAATGGGCAGCAGGTTTAAAACAAATAAAAGGAAGTTCTTCTTCACACAGTCAACCTGTGGAACGCCTTGCCTGAGGAGGTTGTGAAGGCTAGGACTATAACAGGGTTTAAAAGAGAACTAGATAAATTCATGGAGGTTAAGTCCATTAATGGCTATTAGCCACGATGGGTAAAGAATGGTGTCCCTAGCCTCTGTTTTTCAGAGGATGGAGATGGATGGCAGGAGAGAGATCATTTGATCATTACCTGTTAGGTTCACTGCCTCTGGGGCACCTGGCATTGGTCACTGTTGGTAGACAGGATAATGGACCTTTGGTCTGACCCAATATGGCCATTCTTATGATCTTATGTTTAGTCTGGAGAAGACAGAGGGGGGATATGATAACAGTTTTCAAGTACATAACAGGTTGTTACAAGGAGGAGAGTGAAAATTTGTTCTTGTTAACCTCTGAGGATAGGACAAGAAGCAATGGGCTTTAATTGCAGCAAGGGAGGTTTAGGTTGGATATTAGGAAAAACTTCGTAACTGTCAAGGTAGTTAAGCACTGGAACAAATTGCTTAGGGAGGTTGTGGAATCTCCATCATTGGATATTAAGAACAGGTTAGACAAACATCTGTCAGGAATGGTCTAGTTATCCCTTAGTCCTGCCTTGAGTGCAAGGAACTGGACTAGATGACCTATTGAGGTCCCTTTCAGTCCTACACTTCTGTGATTCTATGGTGGGAATTGACCGTGAAGGGCCTTGAAAGTGAGAACAAGCAGTTTATATTTGATACAAAAGTGAAGGGGGAGCCAATGGAAGATTCAAAGGGTGGGCTGACTTGGCCAAAATGACGGGTTAGGAAAATGATCTTTGCAGCAGCATTCTGAAGGGATATGAGCAGGGCAAAATTGCATTTGCCCAGGCCAGAGAGAAGGATGTTGCCGTAATTGAGACATGAGATGATGAGCATACATGGCTGCAGGTATGGCCCGGGGACACTATTTTAAAGAGGGAGCCTCCCGGCACAGTGTGCAAAAAGTTAATACAGCTGGGATGTGACCTATCTGTTGGCCTGCTCACTCCCTCAGGTTCCCACTCACTGATCCCCAGACTTAGTAATGGGGAGAAGGGAGGAGATGGTGCCCCAGAGATGGCTAAGCCACCTTTTCAGATGCACAAGTCATGGGGGCACAACAGGGTATATTCTTATTTAACAGAAACACATTATAACAAATAGCAGCACTTGAATATAGTGTCAGTTTCACTGAAGGCATTTTATTCCAAAACAGTTTTCCATTTGATTGGTTCCCCGCCCCCCAACAATGCTTGCTGAACACTCAGATTTATAGTGTCATAAAAATACATTATACTGAAGCAGACAGTCTATTGGTTTATAAGTTAATGACATTAAAGCTTTATTTTAATTTTCTCAGTATCTGTTATTTTAAAAATGTTTAAATGCTAGTAACAAAAGTCTTTTTAACATTGCCTACTCTGTTGGTATGCTGGCCAATAGAGCCACTGGCTGTGGAAACTCTTGCTTAAATAGTAAGAAAGTTAGGTTTCAGAAGCCAGTAAATGTGGATCACAGTATTGGCCCTGACAAGTTCTCCAGGAACTGGGAAGTGAGCAAAGATTTATTTAGTAGTACAAACTTATTGGAGCTTGACTTTGACACTGAGCACATGTAATTCTCAGACTCAGTCTTTGAGTAGTGATTGCTCTGGACCAGTTATTGATCTCAAAGATGAATAGAAATTTGGTTTGTCATATGGTTTATTGGTCTAGGAAAAATCAGAACTTTTCAAGTATGTAAAAATAAGGTAAAAGTAATTATATTTTTCAATGTTTGTACTCTCTAGCATTATGCCTGTGGGGATAAAGGACATATGTTCCAGCTTCATCAATCTTGTATTTTCTCACTTGGCAAATGTTGAATGTCTTTCTTTCTTTTTTTTTTTTTTTAAACTGAAATTAATATTTCTTTTTTGGTAACACAGATGAGGTACTAATAGAGATTGAGATGTCAGCAGAAATAGTGCTGAAACAAATTGATAATTTAAAAAGCAGTAAATGACTAGGCCCAGAGGTTATACATCCAAGAGATCTGAAGGGATTTAAGAATGAAGTGGTCGAGCTGCTAGCAAAAATATGCAACCTGTCATTAAAAACAGCTAATATACAAGAGGACTAGAGGGGAGCAAATATTCCACCTATATTTAAAATGGGTTCTAGTAGTGATCCAGGGAATTACAGACCAGTAAACCTTATGTCTTTGCCTAGTAAACAGGTCAAGCCAATAATTAAAAATTGAATAATGTCTGGAAGATCGTGGTTTGATAGGGTCCAACAAGCATGGTGGTTTCTCAAGAATTATGCCTTTTATAATTGAATATGTCACTATAATAATGGATAAAGAAGAACTGCCTGACAATTTATTTAGGCTTTCAAAAGACCCATGACAAGTTTCTTTATTGAGAGACTACTAAAGAAACTAAGTAGTCATGGGGTGAGAGGCAAAGTATAGTCAATTAAAATCAGGCTAAGAGACAAAGCAAAGAGTAGGAATAAATGGTTAATTTTCCATAATGGCAAAATGTTATGGTTGCCTGACCTGCTGTCAAAAAAGCAAACCAAATTTAAGGATGCATAAGAAATGGGATAGAAAATAATATGAAAAATATGTCACTATGTAGATCAATAATTTGCCCTCGCCTGGAATACTGTATGCTGTATTGGTCAATTTATCTCAGAAAGGATTCTGCAAAATTGTGGGGGACTCAGAGAAGGGTAATGATGATGATTAAGGGCCTGGAAAAACTCTTTTGAAGAGAGATTGAAAAGACTGGGATTGTATACTTTAGAAAGAAAATAAGTAAGAGAGAACAGGTAAAAGTATGCATAATGATGAATGATATAGAGAAAGTACATTAAGAGATTCTGTTCCCCTGTCTCATAAAACAAAAACAAGGGAGACAGCCAAAGAAATTGAAAGGCCTCAAATTCAAAACTAATAAAAGGAAATACTGTTTCACATTATGCATAATTAAATTTAAAAGTTTTTGCCACAGGTTGTAATGGACGCCAAGAGCTTAGTAAGTTTCAAAGTGAGAGTGGACAATCATATGTAGGGCCCTACCAAATTCATGGCCATGAAAAAAGCATCACGGACTGTGAAATCTGGTCTCCCCCTGTGAAATCTGGTCTTTTATGTTTTTACCCTATACACCTCTACCCCGATATAACACGACCCAATATAACACAAATTCGGATATAACGCGGTAAAGCAGCGCTCCAGGGGGGTGGGGCTGCGCACTCCGGCGGATCAAAGCAAGTTCAATGTAACACTGTTTCACCTATAACACGGTACGTTTTTTTGGCTCCCGAGGACAGTGTTATATTGGGGTAGAGGTGTATTATACAAATTTCAAAGGGGAAGAACAGCATTTCTCAAATTGGGGGTCTTGACCCAAAAGGGAGTTGCAGGGGGGGTCGCTGCCTTCAGAGTGGGGTGGCCGGAGAGCGGCGGCTGTTGGCTGCCCAGCTCTGAAGGCAGCACCCTGCCACAGCAGTGCAGAAGTAAGGGTGGCAATACCATACCATGCTACCCTTCTGCGCTGCTGCCTTCAGAGCTGGGCAGCTGGAGAGTGGCAGCTGCTTACTGAGGGCTCAGCTCTGCAGACAGCAGTGCGGAAGAGTGGCATGGTATGGAGACCCAGGGTTACATAGTTTCATGACCATGCCTTTCTTCTCACTTGTAGAGATGGTCCCTGCAAATCAGAGTAGGAGATAGTTTTGGGGCAGCCCCGCCCCCCTGGAGGGCTGCTTTACCGCGTTATATCCGAATTCGTGTTATATTGGGTCACATTATATCGGGGTAGAGGTGTATAGGGTAAAAGCATAAAAGACCAGATTTCACAGGAGGAGACCAGATTTCACAGTCCGTGATGCTTTTTTCATGGCCATGAATACTCATAATAAACAGAGGACTTCATAGAACTGTCAGTTCAATATCTTTCTATTAATATTATTATTTAATATTTATATTGCAGGAGTGTTCAAAAGCCTCAGACAGAATTTGGGCTGAATTGTAGTTGGCACTGTTAAAAAAAATACTTAGAGAGACATGGTCCCAGCCTTAAAGAATTTATAATCTAAAGTTTAGGGAGAAAAGATTATTCTGAACAATGTTTATACTTGCAATCTGGAAACAGTTTAAGAAATATTTATTGTAGTGATGCTTAGGTTCTACTTTTTCCAGTATTGTCTCCATTACTTATTCTTGAAAATGACTTGCAGTTTAATTTTACAAGTGCACTTTTGTTCATTTGTTCTTTTCAAAGATTTTCAGTCTTGATCTTGGAGGTATATCTGCTATTGTACTGAATGGTTATGATGCTGTAAAAGAATGCCTGGTTCATCAAAGTGAAGTTTTTGCAGACAGACCATCTCTTCCTTTGTTCAAGAAGCTGACAAATATGGGAGGTATGTATTGCTGTCATGAAAGGGAAGATAATATTTTCTTATTACATTGGATACTTGCTTTAGCTTACTTTCCCAATCTTTTAATCTCCTATTCCAGAATATTTGACACTTTTCTAAAGATAGTGTCTGGGAAAGAGTCCCATACTTGGGCTGTGTGCCTGAGCAAGGGAAGTGGAATTCTTTAAGCCCTAAAGTTAATGTTCCCATGGTCTGTGGTAGCAGGTTGGAGCATGAGTCCCCTCCCTCCTCACTGGTGATCACACACAACCCAGGGTACTGTTGACTTTGGAACTTTTCAGTCACTTTTTTGACAATGGTCAGGGAAAGAAGTCCATGCAGAAGCTACACATCTTCATCTGCCACTTCAAGTCTTCCAATTGCTCAGTGTTGATCTTGTTTGAATATTTTTTTCTATTGTGTCCATTCCTGCTTCCCGTGCAGGTCTGGCCCTTTTTGTGTGTTAATTTGTTTTCTATGAGTTTTTCATCAATGTGGATCCAGGATGATCAATAGGAAGCTATCACGCTGCCATAACCAAAAAAAAATTATTAGAATTCACAGTCCAGGAGAATGAATTATTCTATATTTTACAAGAAATAGCATTTCACTGAATTGAGTTGTAATGCTGATTGCCAGCGTCTTGGACTCATTTTCTCTCAGGCTTTAATTACTCAAGTCCAGATGGCACCTTTAAGACTAACAGATGTATTGGAGCATAAGCTTTCGTGGATGAATGCCCACTTCGTCGGATGCCTTCACCCACGAAAGCTTATGCTCCAATACATCTGTTAGTCTTAAAGGTGCCACAGGACTCTCTGTTGCTTTTTACAGATCCAGACTAACACGGCTACCCCTCTGATTCAAGTCCAGATAGCTCTCTTAACATAGATTGCTTCTCTCTTCCCCATTTTCTCTTTTATACTAATTTCTGGTCACTGGACTGGGTAATTTTGCCATTCCTCCCTTCTCCCCTTCCAAGTGAATTGGAGGCAAACATTAACTAACATATTTAAGTAGCAAGAAAAGTAACTAAAACAGATTTTGTGCGCACACATCATATATATTCATTCTTGCAAAATAAAGACTAAAATTCTTAGAATGCAGAGCTTTGCTTCTCTTTGGATGCATGGGCTTTTGTTCCATCTCAGCTGTGAAGGCGGCAGTATGATGCCAATGAATTTTACTTTTCATTTCAGATATAGTTGGACCTTGCATTAAAATCTTCATGGCTATAGACTATTTTCACTCTCATTCAGAGCTCTGTTGCTATCCATCCCAATTCAAGTGGAATCAAAAAACCTTTGCATGCTTTGTCATTCAAAATATAATTTGCTCATTATTTTTTCCTGTGCCTGTGACAAACCTAGAAGAATTAAAGAAATGAACTGATCTTTTGGAGAAAGACAAAGGCAGAATTTTGAATCTCTTAATTCACCTTTTAAATTCATGTATAATCAATTTCCCAATATAATAACTGAGGTAAGGATAAATAGGGTCTTTTAAACCCTTATGCTCCTTGAGTTGTCCACAATTGAAGTGTTTTGACTGTGGACCCTCTCTGCGTAATCGTGAAGAAGTAATGGTCTAGATTAATCTCTGGATGTAGGATCTGGACTCTGGGATGCAGCAACAGAAAATCCACCAGAAGCATGGATGCAGTGTCGCAAACCACCCTTGAATCTCACTCCACGCAGGGGTTATAAGTTCCAAGTACGCAAAACTGGCCCAGACTAGCCATGATATGTGCTGATTTAGCAGCTCTCCTGGGGCAGCCTTCACTGGTGGGAATCCTATGAAGCTCAGCCGGAATTTAAAATTGTTCTTCCCTGAGGGAATTCCCACAAGGTAAATACCTCTTTGTGACAACTGGCCCTGTAAGCATGGCTGTGTACATATTCTGCAACTGACATAGATAAAACAGGAGTAAAGGGAGCAGTTGTCAAATATGAGGCATCATACAGACCTCATCACCTTTAGTTCCAAGTGGAAACCATGCGTCTTTGACTTTGTTTTGCTAATATAAACACAGAGTGCACATATAATATATTAAAATTATGTATTAAAAAACCCACACAATTTCTCCTTCGAGAGAGGAAGAGAGAAAGGAGGAACTACATGGAATAAACACTAGTCAGGTTGCTCAGAGCACTTCGGTGATTACTATGTTGATGAGGGACATAAAATAATCTGTATAGAATAGAATCCACTCCATGGAACAGTGGGTTTTTGTTTTTTTTTAAGTATTGCACAGCTAAATCATGGACATGGACATAAACATGAGCATCTGAAAAATGGGGGCGTATACAGAAGTTGGAATTCAACCTTAACTATAGAAATCACTACAGACTACCACTATAGTACTGTGGCTTCAGCATTTTGTCATCTGAGTTCACTTAGCTTATTTTTTTATATTATTCGTTGTCAGTCTAAAATTCAGTTTAAAAACATTAGTACATTTTTAAAATGTCTAACCCAGTGATGCCCAAACATTTCCTGTTGCAGACACCCCCCCCTTACCAGTAATGGAATCTACCCTCATCCCCCCCTCCATTACTGCACAGTTGGCTCAGCAGAGGAGGTGGAGCTGGGGGCAGAACTGGGGATGAGGGAGAAGCTGGGGCGAGAGGCAGAGCTGGCCTAGGGATGGAAAGGGAATGAGGGCAGAACTGAGCAGGAGGCAGAGTGGAGCTGTGGCTGGAACTGGAGATTGGCTGGAGGTGGAGTGGAACTGGGGCTGGAGCAGAGCTGCAGCTGGGGCTGGAGCTGGACTGGGGGCAGAGCAGGGGCCAAGGTGGAGCTGCGGCTGGGGGCAGAGCAGGGCTGGGTGTTGCTTCCTCCCCACCTCCCTTGGGGGCTGACCCGGGCCCCACCGTGCACCCTCCCCCCTGAATGTTCCTCTGCACCCCCCTCGGGGGGCATGTCCCACAGTTTGGGGACCACTGGTTTTATGTATTGAACTGCCTAGAAGTATAATAAAATTTAGTCTTCACATAATAACCTTACCATCAAAACAGTATTTCTTGTCCCATCAACTCACTATCTCCTAGATACCCAAGAGTTTGTATTCAACACAAAGGGTTAACAATGCACACTGGTGGACCAAGCAGTACAAGTAAAGTCTCTTCTTGGAGGATGCCCTGCCATCATCAGTTTCTCTTTTATACTGAGGGATCTCTGACTTGCATGTCTTCCCAGATAGCTATTGTAGCAGAATCATACACAAAGAGAAGCAGTCTCACAAGTAACTGGGTTTCAAACCATGCAGGACTCTAAAAACTAACACTTTGAACTAAACCTGACAATTTATTTTAGGTTGTGTAGATTATGGAGTACTGGTATAACATGTACTCTGAGATAAGCAGTATGGAACACAAAATGCCATATCAGAAGAAATCAGTTGGTGAAAAAAGGAGGGGAGGAAATCACTGTCAATCATTGGGTCCATAAGAAAGAATTCTTCTTCGAGTGCTGTCCCTGTGGGTGCTCCACTTCAGATGTCGGTGTGTCCCGGCACCGTCAATTGGAGATTTTCGGTAGCAGTGTCCGTCAGGGCCGCACGTGCGCAGTATTTGTCTCGCGGTGCTGTTGATGCCTTGACTAGCATGCGTGACCCGATCCCCCCTCAGTTCCTTCTCAACCATCCTCGGCCTGAGATAGAGCCCTGTAGTGGTGTCAAAAGACAACCTAAAGAAAATAATTAGAATTAGTTAGCAGTTATTAGTGTTAGTTAGGTTTTGTAAGTTACTAGTCTAGATATTTCTCATCCTCTTTTCTGTTTCCCTTAAAAAAAAAATCTTTAGTTATTCCATTTAAAAACAACCTCAACAAGGGACATTAAAACATGCCTGGCTCACCAGGTTTCAAAAGATGTTCCTTGTGTAAGGATGCAATGCCGATTTCTGATGGCCATTCACTCTGTGTCCGTTGCTTAAGTGAGTCGCACATACCACAAAAGTGCGCTCACTGAAGCAACCTTAAAGCCAGAGCCAGAAGAGATCGAGATCTCCAACTTAAACTCATTCTCATGAAGAAATCCCTTCAATCAGCTTCTGAATCCGGACAGCAGAACTCCCCAACCAGGGACTCTCCGGGCAAGTCATTGGCAGAAACATCAAATACTCACTACTCCAAGAAAGCAAGGAGAAAAAAGACATCGCCTCAGCAGAGCGAACCGTTGAAAAGAAAAGTTCCTGCAAGTTCGCTATCCTCAGTGCCAACTACACCAAGAGTGAGCACCTTTGATGCACCAGGAACCTCCAGCACCGGGGCCTCTACTAGCAAGGTTAAGGAGTCGAGAGGCAAACACAAGCCAAACTCCTCCTCCACGGTACCACCAACACCAGTGAAGGCAACAGTACCACAGCCTTTAATGCCAATGCCCCCACCTCCGGTGCCTACAACAGTATTGGCACTGATGGAGAGATCCACATCAGCACAACCGGCACAGACCAAGATAACCCATAAATAATCATCTCTGACCACAGCACCTTCAAAAATGTCAGCACCAAAGAGCACGGCCCTGAAGTCCATGGTACTGCACCAATTTATACAACAGGAGGACATGGCAGTATCTTCCACCTCACACTTACCACTATATGGTACCAAGGGGTCACCGGTACTAACGGCACCGGAGCAACCTGACTCTCCCATCGTGCCACTATTCTCCAGCAATGAGGAGGACAATCTAGAGAAGGGCACCTTTTCATCGTGCCACTCCTCACTGTCCAGTTCTGGGCCAATGCTGGGACATGTGAGATCTAGAGACCACCGAGACCGAAACATACAGCATGGTTCAGGCACCTATGGATGTGTCCACCTATGTCATTCCTGATGCAATGGCCGTAATGGGACACAGGGGCAGCCTACATGAATCAGTACAACAGACCTCAAAAGAGACATACATGTTCCTTTACAATCTCAGTACAGGAGCCGTCAGTGGCCCCTGAGGAAATGGAGGACGACAGAGAAGTGGACACGGAACAAGACATCACCTGCCCATAACTCATCATCATTGCTGGATGAGGCTGTCATGCCACCACTTCCTACGGCTGCAGATGACTTTAAATTCCAAGAATTGTTCCGGCATGAAGCACAAAGCTAAAACGTCCCATTTGAGGAAGTGACCAAGACTCAGCATCAACTTCTAAAGATCCTACACACATCATCTACGTCCAAAATAGCACTGCCAATTAGTGACGCGATAATGGAGCCAGCAGAAATAGTATGGCAAACACCAGTCACCATTCCCCTGGTATGTAAAAGAGCTGACAGGAAATATTATGTCCCTAACTAAAGGAATGGACTTCCTCTTTTCACACCCTCAACCTAATTCATTAGTGGTAGCCGTGGTCAATCAAAGAGGAAAACAACCCCAGTACAGGTCCACTCCATAAGACAAAGACTGGAAGAGGCTAGATCTATTCAGTCACAAAGTATACTAATCCGCAACTCTACAATTCCACACAGCTAATTATGTTGCACTCCTCACGAAATATGACTACGACAGTTACACGAAACTCAGAGAGGTCCTTAACGACATCCCCAAGGAGAGGAAGGAACAATTTAACACAGTCCTTAACGAGGGATAGATTGTGGCAAGAACAGCACTACAGGCATCCCTCAACATGGTGGACGTGGCTGTACAAACAACAGCCACAGCGATAGTCATGCACAGAGCATCATGGCTACACTCATCCAGAATCCGAAGGACTTACAGACAAAGTAGAAGATCTCCCCTTCAACAGAGACAAGTTGTTCTTGGCCAAAACAGGCAAGGTCCTTCCCTCCATGAAGGACTCCTGGACAACTCTCCGCATCTTAGGCATATACACACCTTCGAACAGGCAGAGGAGATATCAACCATACCAGCGTGGCCAAGAGAGTACTTTCCAAAGACAATGACCTTACGACTTCCAGAGACAGAAACAATGCCCGCAGAGACTCTGAACCCACAGTCTCAGCCTACTGCGTCCCAGACACCATCGGGCAAGACACAATTTTAAAACATTGGTCAAGGGTTTGAATGATCCCTCCCAACAACCAGTGCCATCTACACATATCCAGATCTTTGGTCACCGACTGCGCTCATTCTATTCACACTTGGGCATCCATCACCACGGATCAATGGGTCTTGGAAATAATATGATTGGGTTACGCTAGACCCATCAGGGATCCCATTCCAACAGGATCCACCATTCATACTGATCACAACAGATGCTTTGCTGATCGACTGGGATGCACACCTGAATCAGCATAGAGTCCAAGGGAAGTGGTCTCCCCCAGAGACACACTTAAACATCAACCTGCTCAAACTACACATGGTTCACAACGTGTGCGGTCACTTCCTCCCAATGATAAACAACAAAATAGTCAGTCATGACAGACAACATTGCATGTATGTTCTACATAAATCAAGAGGGAGGAGCCCCATTCTCATTCCCTATGCACAGATGCCATAAAATTATGGAATTGATCCATAAATTACAACGTCACCATTACTGCTTCATACCTCCCAGGCTTCCAGAACACAAAGGCAGATGCATTAAGCAGACATTTTCCCCAAGACCACGAATAGGAACCGAATGACAGTATCGTACAACACATATTCCAAATGTGGGGGTTACTTATCAACTTATTTGTGACAGCACGAAACAACAAATGTCCACAAATTTGCTCGTGAGCAGGCCTGGGACCACAGTCCCTAGGGGAACGTCTTTCTCATCTGATGGGATGCCCCTCTCCTGTACGCATTCCCACCGATACCACTAATCTCCAGAGTAAGTCACGAGATACAGACCGACAAAGCCAAAGTCATACTTATAGTTCTGACATGGCCCAGCCAGACCTGGTACCCATACCTGAAGTACATGGCAATCTGTGCACCACACAATCTCCCTCTGTGACGGGATCTTGTCTCGCAAGATGAAGGTCAAGTCCTCCACCCGAGCCTGGAGAAACTTCATATGAGGGCGTGGCTCCTCCATGATGAGCTAACCTGTTTAGAACAAGTAAAACAGGTGTTAGTAAACAGCAGAAAACCAACTACATGTACCACTTACCTCCAAAAATGGAAAAGATTATCCTTATGTTGCCAGAACAAGCACGTATCTGCACTTAAGGCTTGGAATACATACTAGAACTAAAGAACTCAGGACTTTCCACAGGTTTGGCTAGAGCACACCTACCACCAATTACCGCCTTTCACCATAAGGTTGATGATGGCGTATCAGTATTTGCACACTTGATGACAAAACGTTTTCTCACGGGTATATAAAATGTGTACCCAGAAATAGGCGAACCCATGCTACCATGGGACTTAAACTTGGTGCTCAACAGCCTTACCCAGAGCCCATTTTGCGCTACTAGCCACCTGCTCCCTTCTCCACTTATCAATTAAGGTGGTGTTCCTGGTTGTAATTACATCCGCAAAAAGCAAAATAGAGGCTTTTATGGCTCATTCCCCATACACCATATTCTTCAAGGATAGTCACACTGAGACCACATCCAAAATTTATACCCCAAATATCATCCTCTTTCCACATCAATCAACTGATTCACCTACCTATGTTTTATCCCTAACCTCATGTGAATACACATTCACTCATGTGAATACCCTACATATGTTGGGTATCTGCCGTTCGTTAGTGTTTTACTTGGACAGAACAAAGCCCAAGTGTTCCAAAGGTTCTACAGTATCCACTCAGAGACTATCGAAATGGATTTTCAACTGCATCTAGATGTGTTACGAACTCAAAATAGAACCCATCAGGGCCTATTCAACAAGATCACTATCTACCCCTTCTCCACTTCAGAGTTCGCAGTAAGGACTCTACGGTAGAGAAGAAACTGAGGGTGTTGGGTCGCGCACATGCTAGTCAAGGTGCCAACTTCACCGCAAGACGACTACTGCTCACGCGTGGCTCTGACAGACACTGCTATCGAAAATCTCCTATTGATGGTGCCAGGACGCACTGACACCTGACGTGGATCCACCCACAGGGACACACATTTTGAAGAACCTCAGTTGCTGCACAAGGTGAGTAAACTTCTCTTCTAAATAGTCTTCCATAGCTGAAAGTGTGTCAGTATATAAAAAATAAGAGCATAACCCCAACCCCGTTCTGTATTACACAGGAGGGCCTTTATATAGATAAAACATGAATTGCTATAGCATAATTAAGAAGCCAAGTGCCTGACACTCTGAGATGGTAGATAAGGGTGGGGAAATAAAGGTGATACCTATCTGTATCCAGAGCCATCCTTTATTCATTGACATGTACACTGTGCAACTTATCACTCTGAGACTAAAACAATTAACCTTTTTCTTGTTTTGCTGGTGTTTTTTTTCCCTTTGGGTCTTAGAGACAAAGTGTCTATTATCCCATCTTTGCACAGAGATGTACATAACTCTCATTAGGATTTGAAGGAATTGCTAATAAATACATGTCATGTTCTGGAGTGCAGTCCAGACCAATGAGGGGTTATCACCGCCTGCCCTGCAACCTTGGGTGCTTTGCAATATTTGCTGTTGTAGCTCACAACCAACCTACCATCATGCAGATCATGTTCACTATAATGTTCAGCTCTGTCCTGGAAAGTTAAAAGAAATAATATAGTTAATTTGCTTCTTTAAGGAGACAAAACACACCAGTTTGCTACATTAACTGGAGTTGACATTCACTTCAGTACAAACACAGCACTGTTGGTTTAGATCAATAGTTTTTAATAGATTTTAAGTGAGTTCAAGAATAAGAGATAAAGTTAGATATGGCCACAAGCAAATAAAAGTGAAAACACACATCTAAAACTTATTTTAGCAAGATTTGGTTGAAGGCTTTGTTCAAGACGGCCTTTCTCACTCACAGTCTTCTAGCAAGAGGGTGACCTACTCTCTCCTTGGTCAGGATCTCTTCCAGAGGTTCTGGTGCTTTTGTCATCTTAGGTGAAAGTGATAACTTGGGGTTCTCTGACCCTTTCTTTTATATCCATTGAATCTCTGAAGTGGATTCTCCTGAACAGTACCCCTCAAAGTAAAGTTTATTCAAGCTGCGAGGAAGGCACATGGAGTCTGGTGGTGAAGGAAGCTCCATGCTCTTTCTTCCCCCACCTTTGTTTGCTGAAATGCAAATTGTTCTGTTTCCTGCCCTCTCCTCCCCTGGCTGTCTTGGTTTACTACTTATATGTAAACTGGGGTAAACACACATTCCTTTGTTTAAGGACAGACCTGTTTAACAACTTTTTCCTAGGCAGAGCTGTCTGGTTTTGAACATTTCCTAATAACATCATACAGAAGAAATTAATAACTTTAGATATAATGCTGCTATATAAATTTCACCATGATATTATTGACAAGCAAGTTACTTGTTTTCAAATGATACGTCACAAGGCATATTATTACAATAGTGTGTAGGATGTGTTTTCATATGATACCCCACGAGGCATATTATTACAATATCGTGTAGGCTGTGAATACACAGGTGCTTTGGGTCACAATACTCATATAAGTTAATGAGAAAATAGACTTCTGAATCTTTCCTGCATTGGAATGAACATTACCACACTGGGACATCTCTATTTGTGAATTTACTTTTAGAATGGACTGCTGTTTTTCATAGTTTTGTTATCTGTTGAATAAGGATATAGAGCTATGCATAAAATACTGTTGAAAATGTATTTTCAGGTTTATTGAACTCTAGATACGGTAGAGGATGGACAGAGCATCGCAAGTTAGCTGTAAGCAGCTTTCGTTGTTTTGGATATGGTCAAAGGTCCTTCGAACACAAAATTTCAGAAGAATCCATGTTTTTTCTTGATGCCATTGATACATACAAAGGCAGACCCTTTGATCTTAAACACTTGATAACAAATGCAGTCTCAAACATTACTAATTTGATTATCTTTGGAGAACGTTTTACATATGAAGACACTGAATTTCAGCACATGATAGAGATTTTTAGTGAAAACATTGAATTAGTTGCTAGTGCTTCAGTGTTCTTGTATAATTCTTTTCCCTGGATTGGCATATTACCCTTTGGAAAACATCAACAACTGTTTAAGAATGCAGCTGAAGTCTATAATTTTTTGCTTGAACTTATTGAGCGTGTCTCTAAAAACAGGAGGCCTCAGTCACCTCGACATTTCATTGATGCATATTTAGATGAAATGGATCGAAGTGAAAATGATCCAGAGTCTACATATTCAACCAAAAATTTAATTTTCTCTGTTGGAGAACTTATCATAGCTGGAACAGAAACCACAACAAATGTTTTAAGATGGGCAGTATTGTTTATGGCTCTTTATCCGAACATTCAAGGTAAGAATTTTTGTCATTTTTGAGGAACTGATATTGTAGTCTTTATGGTGAGAATTTAGAGTGCATTTTCAACGTGGTGTGTTGGAATTGCCAATACTAATCCTTAGTAAAAATAAAAATTTGTGCGCATTACTCCATTATGTCCCTTTCTTAATGTATTGCAGACAGACATGTCAATGCTATTTTATTTGCAGCTAAAATGGGTATCTAGTTACCATTAGGATAATATTTTAAGGTTTTTTTTTTTTTGTAAACACTTCCGTGAACTTTTTTTTAAAATAAGGAGAGATTTACTTTTATTATGTGTAGGTTGAACAATATGATGACTCAGAATACTGGCTGGCAAAAGAACACAAGAATCAGCAAAAAAGTGTAAATCAGATTTTGGTTAACTCTTTGACCATTTTTTAATCCTTAAGTGCATCAATCCATAACAGGTTTATGTACTATGCACTTATATGTATTTACATTGATTGTTAGGGAGGGGAAAAAGACAATATGAGCATTTTAAAACATAACCAGTGTTAGCATTGTTCTGAAGTACAATACTAAGGTATTCTTGAAGAGGACCACATTGAAGTTTTAGTGTAGAAACTTGGACATTAAATGTCATTAGTTAGCTTCCTTTCTGAGTTCACACACCTTCTGAGAAAAGTTGTTTTTTTCATATCACAACCTTGTAAGTGCTTAGTTTGAACTAAGACTTTTTAATACTTAGGGGAAGAGGCCAGTTAAGTGGCTCAAATATTATTGTGTGAAAAGTAGCTATTTTATATATGATGGGCCAAATTTTCTGCTCATGTAAATGGATGCTGCTGCCTTGACCTCAATGAAGCTGTACTCACTAACAAACACCTGCAGAGAATTCTGCTCAGTGTTTAATTTTCATACATTTGTTTAACTGGTTTAACCGTGCTCTCCTGTACATCTTGGCGATTCCACAGAAACTGTGATTGTAATTGCATGGGGGCCATCACTTAAAATATCTTATACATTTTGGAGGGCCTCTATTTCATCAAAAGGATTTCCTAAACTCCAAATTTATATGTCTACACCTTGTCAGCAGCTAAGATCCAGGGGATAGCAATATATGTTTGTATGTATGTATATGGCATGAGATGGAAGGGAAAAAATTGAAGGCTACTAATTACCTTCATAACTAGCTATATTTACTCTCTTTTAATTTCCTCATAATACAGGATCATTCTTACCTTAAAAGCAGCATACAGCGTTGCCAACTCTACATAGCAGGAAGTCACCAGGCAAACCCTGAAAAGTCGCTAGATGTAGCTGTTTAAACACTCAAAAGGAGTCCAAAATGTCACCGAACAAAATTTCCAGAGAATTCAATTGAGAATTTTATATGTGTGTGTGTATATATAAAATTCTCTGTTGAATACACACACACAACCGAGTACAGTCACAATCATTCACAAGCAGCTCAATAGTGTTAATATAGTCCATCCCATGCTCTTACTACATTCTGTTGCATACTGGAAGCAACTACAACAGTACACTCATAAGGAGAGTGCCCTCTGCTCATTGGGAAGGGTACTTCCTTTCTTGCCAGCCTGGATTAGAGCTGGCAGGTTAGTGAAAGGGAGTGCCCAGAACCAGGGGGAAGAGGCATTCACCTGACCTGAGCTCGGCGCTGCAGGGAGCCAAGAAAGTAGATTTAAAAACAAAAATCCGTTAGCTGGACCCCTTTCCCCCTGCTTCCAGGGTTTCATTTCTGAAAACAGCTGGGCAGCTAACCCCAGGCCAAGCCAGGGGAAGGAGTAAAGGGGAACTGAAATCAAGCTAGCTCCACCTTTGATCCTGTAGTAAGGGCTTCATTCCTGGAGGCACGGTGCCCCTGTGTCATTCCACCCCACCTTCCCTCCGTGCGGCTCTCCTCGCTGGCTAACCTGCCTCCCCCACCCTACCCACTTCATTAGCCATCTTTCCCTTCGTCACAGGGTGTGATACCTACTATGGAGTGGCAAAACATTTGGGTAAAAACAAACCCTGGCTAATGTGCTGCTCTCTCCAAAGTGCGCCTGGCTTTAGTAAAGTATTTAATTAGCCTCCACAAACTTATTTTCTGCAGATTATAGTGATCTCAGCCCAAGAAATCCTGGGATGTGATTCCTTCTGAGGACATGCTCAATTGAGATGTAATGACATTGACTTGGTGTGCAACAGAATGTAGTAAAAAGATCATGGAATGGATTTTATTAACACTGTTGTGCTGCTTGTGAATGATTTTGTGACTAGATATTGGTGACTTCTTTCTCTGAATGTCACTATAATTGGCAGTGAAAGTCGCTAGATTTGTCACTGGTCACTTTGACACTTATTTTCTCACTAGGGAAACCCAAAAGTCACTATATCTAGTGACAAAGTCGCTAAGTTGGCAACGCTGGCAGCATACGGCCTTATTCCCTTCTGTATTAGATCATCCCCAAAACATCATCTTCCAACAGGGGACAGAAACTAGGCACTTCTTGGAGTTTTGTGTCTCAGCCAGATCATTTAAGAGGCACTGTATTGTTAAAACACAAAGCAATCCCTCTCCTCTAAAATTCTCCTGTGATCTCAACTTCTGTTAGCCCTTGGGAGAAAAATAAGCTCAGGATTCAAGTTCAGATTCTTTACATAGCAGTAAATAATATTAATACCCTGCATTTATGTACACATTTTCCACATGAGGATCTCAACATGTATCAAAAATAACAGTTAGCTACAAGATGCACTAAGGTTCTGGTCTGATCTATCTCATGCACTTTCTTTGGGATTGGAGAGGTTAGTTTCATTTTAAGAACTTGGTAATAGTTCTTCATTGTCTAGATATATTGTGTTGATGCCAGTCAAGCTGTATCACTGCTATTTTATGTGATTTAGGGGCTGTCTAATGGCATTAGCAAACACATTGATAAAGTACATCAGAAAAAAAAGAGTAAACGAACTGTTGCCTTGTTGAGCAAACTATTATGTGATTTTTCAATGTGGAGTTGATTTAAAGGATCCAGTTTTATATTTTTTCATTTTTAAAAAAGAGCTTGAAAGAGAAATAATTTAATTTATATCCCAAAAAGTTAAAAAAATCCAGAATCCAGCTAGAGTTGTTCCTCTTACTTTTACCATAGTGTGCCTAACTATTTCAAGATTCTTAAAATGGTGGATGATTTTACACAACATGTGTGATGTACTAACTTGGGATAATTAGATAGATAAAAAATTAAGTATCTCTTAATTCTGAATATTCTATACATGGTCTTCTCTTGTGTTTGATTTTTTTCTTTTTGCATTTAATATACTTCATCTTACCTATCTAGAATGTGATGTTAGTTATCCCAATTCTCATGAGCTCCTTGAAAGGGGAAATTTATTGAGTAAAGAAAAACATAAGAATCAAGATTATAGCTCCAGTTTGTTGTGAAATTACTATTTCTTTGGGGCTTGAAAAAACTGTTAGCAGCGGAATGAGAGTATGAGAGGAAATTAAAAATTGAAAATACACCTCTACCCCGATATAATGTGACCCGATATAACACGAATTCAGATGTAACACGGTAAAGCAGTGCTCCGGGGCAGGCGGGGCTGCGCACTCCGGTGGATCAAAGCAAGTTCGATATAACGCGGTTTCACCTATAACACGGTAAGATTTTTTGGCTCCCGAGAACAGCGTTATATCAAGGTAGAGGTGTAGCTATCATACCAGCCTGTTAGGTGCTGCATTAAGTACTAAGGCATTTCTAGTCTTAACACAAAATATTTATGTATTTACTCCTTATCTTTAAATTTTAAAGTATTGCACAATAAACTAAAGGTTTTTTCTCTAACAGGGCAAGTTCATAAAGAAATTGATTTAGTCGTGGGCCCAAACAAAACACCTTCTTTAGAAGAGAAATGCAAAATGCCTTACACTGAAGCAGTTCTACATGAAATTTTAAGGTTCTGTAATGTAGCTCCGTTAGGTATTTTCCATGCAACTTCTAAAGATACAGTCGTGCGTGGTTATTCTATCCCTGAAGGCACTACAATAATTACAAACCTCTATTCTGTACACTTTGATGAAAAGTACTGGAGTAACCCAGAAGTGTTTTATCCTGAACGGTTTTTGGACAGTAGTGGGCAGTTCATCAAGAAAGATGCATTTGTTCCTTTTTCACTAGGTAAGAGCTCATGCCTACTCATACATCTATATTCAACAGTGTTAACTAATCCACAATAGACAGCATGATGTAAAAAAGCTACACTTATGATAAAACAACTGTTTGTAAAGTTATATTTAATACAGTGCATCAGAGGCTTGGTAATGTCCATAGGTGCTGGAACTAAGGCTGCTGTCGCACCCCCTGGCTTGAAGTGGTTTCCATCATATACAGGGTTTACAGTTTGCTTCAATGGCTCTCAGCACTCCCACTATATAAATTGTTCCAGCAACCCTGGCAATGTTGTGTAATGGTGTCTCCTATATAAATTAAAGGACATTTTGATACAAAAACTGATCATGTCATCTTAATGTTTTATAAGTCTGTTTTATCTGAGGATTTTACACAGCCTCTGTCATTGTGGTTTCTAACTGAGTTTTGTTTGTTGGAAATTGATGCAGCAGATTTTTGTGTCTGCTCAATTTTCATAATCCAGTTTCCATCTCTGAGCACTTGAAATTGCAAAATATGAATACCTTATTTTAAATTTGGATTTAGGATGTCAGCTAATTTTGTTTTTCCTATTGATCATTTTTTGGGAAAATAAATACAATTGATTTGAAGCAGAAATCTAGAGTATCTAGAACTACTTGATTGATGCTGCAGATGCATTTACGGAATACAGTGTTCTAATTATTCAAGTGATCATATAGCATGTGGTTTTTTTATTAAATCAATTGAGCAAATACCAAAACCCCCAAACCCTTCAGACTAAAGCTTTCATCTTACAGAATCTGGAGAGTGTTTTCAAGCTTTAGAACAAAATAAATTAAATGTCTTACTAACAATTTAACCTGTTCCTATTTATCTGCTCTTGTATCTTATCACATTGCTTCTTGCCTCTTGTACTTCATCAACTCTGCTAGCCTTGACTGTCTATTTATCTGCTTCTCCCACAAGCACCTTTAAGCTTCCAGGCTGCCTATTATGCATGGAATGAGAATTAGTGTATAAAGCCACTACACTATCCTACTTTAGATCTGTTCAAAAGTCCCACTTTTACTGTGATATTTAGGAGTAATTACCAACTGATGATTGGCAATAGACAGTGGGCACAATTTTGTTGTCTTTTGCAAAAATCCCATTGATATCATTAGCAGTTTTGCCTAAATTAAGACTGCAGGATTCGATCCAGTGGTACTTGTGTTGTCAAAACTACAAATGTTTTTAAAATATGACCCTTAATATAATTTGCACATATCCTTTCCTATGAATCAGACCCAGTATTATGTCCAAACAGCTCCATTTAGAGTAGAAGCAGAAATAACTATTCTTTTTTTAAATGTAAGTGCAAACATGATTATTGTAATTTTAAAAATATAATTTTTTTTCTATTCAGGAAGAAGACATTGTCTTGGAGAACAACTGGCCAGGATGGAAATGTTCTTGTTTTTTACTTCATTACTTCAGCGGTTTCACCTGCATTTTCCACATGCTTTGATTCCAAATCTGAAGCCAAAATTAGGCATGACATTACAACCACAGCCATATCTCATCTGTGCTGAAAGACGTTAAAGCATATGTGCCAAACTCTCAGCTGGTGTAAATTGGAATAGCTCCACTGAATAAATGGAGCTGCACCAATTTACAGCAACTGAGTATCTGGCCCCATCTTTTATTTACAACTATCTTGTTCATAGTCTTGCCAAAAGAACAAGAATTGTAAACACTCTCTGTTAAAGGACTTACACACCAATTTTGTCTTATGCATAGCCTTTTAGGTATTTCATGTATTTGTATGTAATTTTCACAAAAAAGACATTAATACTCTTCATGTGTTTATAGATTCTGTTCTCACTTCAAAAATCTAGATCAGGTTCCATTTCTCATTTAAACTTTTCAAAATTTCATTGAATTACCCGATTTAAAGATTAATAAAAAATTCAGCTACTGACACATAATATTTTCTATTATACATGATATTTAAATAAAGTTGAGAAAAATAGTTTTTAAAATTTTTAACATAAGCAGAAAACTGTTTTTAGTTTGGGAAAATGTTCTGATAAATTTGGAGAGCTTGGATGAAACCTGTTGCAGTCAGACTCCTCCCATGAAATCTCAAATAATAAAAAACTGCCCCAAACAAACTTATTTTTAGAGTACTTCATTAAAAATATATAAACCCCATTTTTCATTAAAAACCCTTTTTGAAATATGTTGTAATAAATCATATATCTATCTGTATATTCTTCCTTGACAAATCCCCTCTAGCCCACTTGTATCCATTCACAATGCTGCTGCAAAGATCATTTTTCTGGCATGACACTTCAAGTATATCACCTCTCTTTCTACATCCTTCCGGTTATTCCACATTCGCTACTGCATCAAATAATAACTACATGTCTTCACTTTTAAGGCACTTCATGGCCTATACCCACCCTATCTAGCATGCTTTATATGCTATCAGGATGTTGAATCATGCCTCTGCTCTGACAGTTATGGCAGCCTTCATTGCCCATTTGTTACATTTTCAAACAAGCACCTTCTTGTTCTTCTTCGAGTTCTTGCTCATATCGATTCCAAGTAGGTGTGCGCGCGCCACGTGCATGATCGTCGGAAGATTTTTACCCTAGCAACACTCGGTGGGTCGGCTGAGGCTCCCCCTGGAGTGGCGCCTTTATGGCGCTGGTTATATGCCCCGGCTGACCCAGCGCCCCCTCAGTTCCTTCTTACCTCCCGTGACGATCGTTGGAACTGTGGAGCGCAGCTTAGCTGATCTCCACTCTCCCTAGCATTCGCTTTAGTACCTGTTAATAGTTTCTGATTAGTTGTTAATAGTTGGTTATAGTTGTTAATAGTTGTGAATTACTTAGTATAGTTAGAATTAGTTTAATTAGTGGGGGGGAACGGGGTCTTCTCCCCTCTTCCCTATCCTGGTACCTAGGTCCATGCCTGGGTCTCCAGGCTTCAAACCCTGCTCGACTTGCCAGAGGCCGATGCCAATGGGAGACCCCCACGACTCTTGCCTAAGGTGTCTGGGGGAATCCCACCACACAGACAAGTGCCGCATTTGCAAAGCCTTCAAGCCGAGGACCAGGAAGGAGCGGGACCTTAGACTGAAGCAGCTCCTTATGGAGGCGGCACTTAGCCCAGTCCCTTCCTCCACGCTCCGAGACTCGGCACCGCATCCTCGGTACGGAGTGCCCCTGCGGCACCGACTGGTCCAGCACCGCGTTCGGACTCTACCAAAGACTCGCGGCGCCAGATCTTCCCGGCACCTCTACCACCACGGCGCAGGTCTCTATCTCCGACGAGGAAGCAGCCCAAGCTGGTGTAGGCCACTTATTGTTTGTCGGTGTGACAGCCACCGATGCTTCCCGCACCGCAGTTGGAGCCACGTCCATTGCCGGAGCGCATAGGACAAATATGGGCTCCTGCACCGTTGACTCCGGCGCTGCAAGGGCCGTCAAGTCCGGTGCACGTAAGCTCCCCGGGGCACACCGGGGTCGAGCTGAGACTACCCTCCACACCGGAGACCTTTTCAACGGCACGGGACTTGATCGTACTCACAGAGCCGACTCCTCTGCAGCCGGCAGCACCTCCGGCACGGACGGTGCTGTCGAAGGGAAAGCCGTCCCTCATGCGACCACTTTCGCCAAGTGAAGGACGACACCGGTCCCGATCTTCCTGGCACCCATCACGGCGTCGCTCACAGTCCCAGCACCAGTCTCATTCTCAGCGCCGGTCTTACTCGCAACGCCGCTCCAGCTCGTGGAGATCCGAATAGCATTATGGCCGGTACCGATCGGACTCCTGGCACCGCTCCCAGTACTAGTCAGAGCGGCACTCGACCTGGAGCTGATCCCGATGCCGATCTCACCGGAGGTCGCCATCGAGATCCAGATCAGGCTCCCGGTACCGATACAACCGCAGGCACTGATCGACTTCTCGGTACCTTTCTGCCTCACGGCACTGGTGCCCAGCACCATGGCACCGTACAGCACCGCGGTACTCGGCACCAGCACGTACAGCACCGCCTTGGCCATCTTACTCCGCCTGTGCGTCGTCACGCTAGCAAGGTAGCTACCAGGACCAGGGCGAGGGCGGTACAGGCCCGTGGCTAGAAGAAAGCCAGGACCCGGGCCATGAACCCCCACAGTGGTCCTTTTTGGACCCCCTGGGCATACCATCAGGCCCAGGGGGCTCCTTCGGGGGCTTCCCGTTCCGCCCCTTCGGAGCCCCAAGTACTGGAGGCCACTGTGTCTCGGCCCCCCCCAGGAGGCTCTGAGACGACTGCTCCAGTGCCAGTGCAGGCCCACACTCCTAGCGTGATGGACCTTGAGCAACAAGATCCTCCACAAGAGGACCTCGCGCAGGATCCCTTAGCCCCGGGTGTATCTTCCTTGTCCTCGCCTGATGAGGCAGTGGCGGGGACTACGGTTTCGGGCCCTACTCCTATGGACCTCTGCGCCCACCAGGAACTGCTCCGCAGAGTGGCGCACAATATGAACCTCCAGGTAGAGGAGGTGGTGGAGGTAGAGGAGCCTGTAGTAGACACTGTCCAGAGTTGCCCTCCCCGTCATATGAACCATACAGGCCAATGCCAAGACAATCTGGCAATCGCCAGCCTCTATTCCACCTATGGCCAAAGGGGTGGAAAGGAAGTACTTTGTCCCTTCAAAGGACTACGAGTACCTCTATACACACCCCCAACCGTGCTCCCTTGTCGTGGCTTCGGTCAACGAGAAGGAGCGGCACGGTCAGCAGGCCCTGGCGCCTAAATCAAAGGACGCTAGACGCCTAGACTTGTTTGGGCGCAAGGTGTACTCGGCCGGAGGCTTGCAGCTCAGGGTGACCAACCAGCTGGCACTCCTGAGCCCATATGACTATAATTCGTGGCACTCTATGGAGAAATTCAAGGAGTTGGTTCCACAGGAGTCCAGAGAGGAACTTGGGGCTATAGTAGAGGAGGGCAAGAAGGTGTCCAGAACCTCTCTTCAAGCTTCTCTGGACGCGGCAGACTTGGCAGCTAGGACGCTGGCCTCGGGCATAGCCATGCACTGCATCTCGTGGCTGCAGGTCTCTGGCTTACCACCAGAGTTACAGCAGACCCTCCAGGACCTGCCCTTTGATGGCCAGGGCCTATTCTCTGAGAAGACAGACTCAAGGCAGCAGCGTCTGAAGGACTCAAGAATTATCATGCGCTCTCTGGGAATGCATACCCCAGTAACGCAGAGAAGACCCTTCAGACCACATCCTCAGAGGTCATATCCTCCCCCTTGGCCGAGACAGGACTTCTTTAGAAGACGCGGCCGAGGTGGTAAAAGGAAACAAACTGGACACCAAGCCAGCTAAGGCCAGGGCCCTCCCTAGCCATCGGCAGGGCCTAAGCAGAACTTTTGAAGGTGCGCCCGAGGACGGAGCACCAGTCTCCATTCAGGAGCCTTCCCCGCCTTTCCAAAATCGTCTCTCCCATTTCCTCCGTGCATGGTCCTACATAACATCAGAGCGTTGGGTCCTACGCATGGTGGAAAGGGGATACTCCCTCCAATTTGCTTCCCCCCCCCTCCTTCCCCGTCCCTCTTCAGGGACCCTTCTCACGAGCACCTCCTTCTACAGGAGGTCCAATCACTCCTGGCTTTGGGAGCGATAGAGGAGGTTCCAGGAGAGTCAAGGGGCAAAGGCTTTTATTCCCGCTACTTCCTAATCCCCAAGGCCAAGGGCGGGCTTCGGCCCATCCTGGACCTACGTGGACTCAACAAATTTATGGTAAAGTTGAAGTTCCGCATGGTCTCACTAGGGACCATTATTCCTTCCTTAGATCCTGGAGACTGGTACGCCGCCCTCGATATGAAGGACGCGTACTTCCACATTGCGATCTACCCAGTGCACAGACACTTCCTTCGCTTTGTGGTCAATCAACAGCACTTTCAATTCATCGTCCTTCCTTTCGGCCTATCTACGGCCCCCGAGGTGTTTACCAAATGCATGGCTGTGGTGGCTGCCTCCCTTTGTCGACAACGGGTCTAAGTGTTCCCATATCTCGACGACTGGCTTATTCGGGGTCGCTCCAGGGATCAGGTGGTCTCATGTTCAGCTCACCATGAACATGTTCAGTTGGCTGGGCCTCCTGCTCAATGTCGCGAAATCCACTCTGGTACCAACCCAGAGGATAGAATTCATAGGAGCAGTATTAGACTCAGGCCTAGCCCGGGCAATTCTGCTGGAAGCATGCTTCCAATCCCTGGTGAACATTGTCCACAGCCTGCAAAGCTTCCCGACCTTGACCATGAAAACATGCCTGTGCCTCCTGGGACACATGACCTCTTGCACGTTTGTGACCAGGCATGCCAGGCTGCGACTATGTCCACTCCAATCCTGGCTATCAACAGTATACCGCTCAGGTCCGGACAGCTTGAGCATGGTGGTTACCATCCCGCCAGGGGTATTAGCCTCTCTAGGCTGGTGGCTGGACCCCAAATCAGTGTGTGAAGGGTTGTCATTTCACGCCCCGCAGCCCTCCGGTGTCCCTAGTCACGGATGCGTCATCCCTGGGATGGGGAGCCCACCTCGGGAACCTCTGTACACAGGGGCTATGGTTGGCAGGAGAGTTATCCCTGCACATCAAAGTATGGGAACTCAGAGCAGTGCGCCTGGCGTGTCAAGCATTCAGAGAGCGCATTCAAGGCCGTTGTGTTGCAGTCCTCACAGACAACACTACGGCCATGTTTTACATCAACAAGCAAGGGAGAGCCCAGTCATCCCCCTTCTGTCAGGAAGCCACTCGTCTGTGGGAATTCTGCATACCCCACTCGATCCACCTGGTGGCGTCGTTTCTCCCAGGGATCCAGAACACCTTAGCGGACCACGTCAGCAGATCATTCCAGGCTCACAAGTGGTCAGTTCTCCCGGACGTCATCCACTCTGTCTTCCTGAAGTGGGGCTTTCCCCTGATAGACCTATTCACCTCTCGCGAGAATCAGAAATGCCAGGTGTTCTGCTCTCTCCACGGGTGCTCTCTGGGTTCCCTGTTGGACGCCTTCCTAATTCAGTGGAAGGATCACCTGTGCTATGCCCTTCCTCCATTCCCACTAGTCCACAGAGTCCTAATCAAGCTGCGCAGGGACAGAGCCCGTCTGATTCTGGTCGCCCCGGCGTGGCCCAGACAGCCCTGGTATACCACTCTCCTAGAGCTGTCGGTGGACACCCCGATTCCACTCCCACTGTGGCCAGACCTGATCACTCAGGATCATGGTCGACTCTGTCATCCTGACCTGCAATCTCTCCACCTCACAGCGTGGCTAAATCAGTCTGAGCTGTGCTGTTCTCACTCGGTCCAGCAGATCCTTTTGTGTAGCAGGAAGCCCTCTACCAGGTCCACATACTTAGCCAAGTGGAAGCGGTTTTCCTGCTGGTGCACCTGGAATCATACGACCCCCCCTACAGGCGTCAGTACCTATCATCTTGGACTACCTCCTGTCCTTAAAGCAGCAGGGCTTGGCAATATCTTCCATCAGGGTGCACCTGGCAGCTATTTCGGCTTTTCACCCGGGTGCAAACGG